ACTCTTTCAAATAAGCACATTAAGACATCGATTGAAAAATACTTATGGTTGTTTTTTTCTTCCTGGATACCTCGATTTACAAAGAGAGTAAACAAAAGAAACAGACGTACCTCAGCCCAGAACTCCGCATATATATCATTGGCCGTCAGTCTGGTAACTGGCCACAACTTTGTTACAGAACACAAATCACAAGCCGTCATCATCAGGCCAATCACTCTATCTCTACAATAAAATAACATTATATTGTAAGTTTGGTAAAGAATTAATGATGACACTGCAAAGTTTTTATTTGCCCTTCCTCAGCTCAACCAGCAGTGAAGTATATATACCACAAAATTTCTCCCACCTTGCTTGTTTATTCCTCACTTGCTTATGATTCATTGGTAAGGTGTCACGCAAACGGTGTATTACATTCCCTGCATTGTTTGCAACCAGAGCTCATGGACTGTCCTCTGCACAATCACATTCATAGAAAAGCACACAAGTATGCCTGCCTGTTAAAACACTCACATGTCCCTCCTTAATTTTCTAAAGATACAGTACAAATCTCTAAAAAGAAAGACGGCATATCCTGTCGCTGCATTTCTTTCTGTTGTTTAAAGAGAGAGGAACACCTGCTCCAAAAAGAGGAAAAACTAGATCTGTCTCAAGGTACTCTGTCATTGCTTTGTCGGAATGAATTCTAACCCTGGCAGACCAAGAATCCTGCACGTAACTCTGTCCTGTACACTGACAAACCTGTTCACAGAATAACTGAACAGCATCAGTAGGTTTAAAATCATTATTAGAATAAGGTTCGTGCGCACACACACACACACAAATATCTTATATATACAGTTTCCTAGCACTTGTCTACTACCCAAACCTATGGTTTATGAATCACGGTTTTATAAAGAAAACTGGCAGATTAATGAATTCATGTGTTTTCTACCCAATGGAGAATTTTAGATTAGACTTAAGAACACCTGCATCTTTGTTAATAAATGCCTGTTCCATGGAAAAAAACCGCACAACTTGCTAACTTGCATGCAAATGTGATGACAGTCATTAAAATTGTGCCAACAAATATAGGGAAAATACACAAATACATGATATAATCAATAGATAAACGGTAAAGTGCAATTCCCCTGAGTTAAGGCAGAGGATTCATCAGCCATGTCAGAGCCAAATTTAGCATTTCATTGCATTTACAGATACCAATGAGAAGTCTTGGATTCTTTAGCCACATTACAAACTGATGTTCTATCTTTGGGCATGTGGCTTTGCACTGAAAATGCTCTGAGGCAGGCAAGATAAATAGAAACATAATAAAATATTCAATCATACACTAAATAGTTGTGATCCTAAATTTTATGAACCCTAAATTCAAGGTTTCTGGTAAATTTCAGTCTGAGATTATCAGGAGCTACTACATCTTTGTCTTTTTAAGATGTTGAGGTTTATTCAAGTCTGATAAGCTTCAGTTCCATATTGGGAAATAAGCTTTTAAAAACAACCTTTCCTACATTGTTGTAATAATTTATTCAAAACTACTGGCAAAAACCTGTAAAACTCCTCGGAAAGAAGACCCAAGTAAAAAAGTTCCTTTTGAAAAGAAATCAGAATCATGACTCAATATTTTCCCATGTTACCGTTCTAATTTTTCCCTGCATTAGATTCATGGCAGGATCCACTTTCTAGTAAAGAAGCTCTGAAGGGCAGCACGAGCACTTTAATGAAGCCTGTTATGGGACACATCTCTCATCCAGCGTGCTCTATATTTTGCTTATGCAGAGTCATGTATTTATGAACACACTTGTATATTCTTAAAACTTAGAGATATTTTAATTCACAAAGCTTGAGATCTGACCAGAATTCTTTCCAAAAAAAGCGTGTTGACAGAATAATAAAAATATTGACATAAAAATAAAGTAATTATTGCACTACACATTTTCCCCCACCAACTAACTGCCTGTGCACTAATTTTCCTCTGCAGATGATCTATCACTGAACTGTGCAGATGACATCCAAAGGCAGTGACATGCAAATATAAAACAATGGAAATTACTGTTACATACTTGGAATTTTATACACAGCTGGTCTTAGAAATCTCATATGTAAGAAAATTACTCTGTACACAGACTTTTTTTTTTTTTTTTTTTTTTCCCCCCCCCCAAAATAAGGTTTTTCTTCCTAGGACTAATGCCAGAGTGAACTAATACTGGTGTGCTGCTTTACCTATGTGCTTGGTTCTTAAGGTTTAATGCTCCCGTCTGATGCAGCTCTTCAAGCTGTTTTCTATTTCCAAAATACAGGGCAAGGTCTGTGGCAATGATGGCTTTCCGGATGATCTCAAGTACTTGCTCATATTCGCTGGAGCTCAGATTGGAGAAGACATTGTGCCCTTCCAGCTATGAAAAAGTAAAAAACCAATAAAAAGCACAAGCTCTAATTCTGAGATGATTTCAGTCTTTACTTCACCAGACAGTTTACAACGGTTTTACAGCCCAATGACAATTTTTGTTGCAAATTCAAATGTTGACAGCCTGAAATTCCCATTTTTCTTTTCCCTTTTTAAATACTGTCATGAACCCTCTGACTAAGTCACTGATTTGGTTTTGAGACTGCTCCTTCTGGAGCTTAAAGGTATTAATAAGAAAAATGCTAGCTTTTTCTTCTCTGATTTATAAGCACTACACAGAGCACTTCCAGACAGTATTAGCTTGGGAACTTGTGATTCAATCCTGATCTAGAGTACTGCATTGCCAAGTTGGTAAACTGTCTGATTCACTCTAAAGTATAATTTTGATACTGTATAACACATAATATGGATAAGAAAATATCCAAGTTGAAGTGCTAAAATAATTTTATTTTCATAGTGTTCCAAATGAAATGTGCCTGAAATTGCTGCATTTACTGATGCAATTTTCTTCATAGAAATAAAGTTAATTACAGAATTTTAATGTATATGAACATGTAGGGGAAAAAAGCTGCTTTGTTCAACCATGAGTTGACTGACTCATGAACTAAAGACAATGGCTTCCACTATGGAGGCTCTGGCAACACGCCACTGTCATCCCTTTTCAATTTCCACTATGTATTATTGCGCATTTAACTGACAATATCCATGTCCTGTGATTGCTCGTGAAGCCGTATCACATTTTGAGAAGTCAACACTGTTCGCCATCTCTAAGATTTGGAAAACAACTTGTCAAAATTCTTCCTAATATTGAGAGGAAACGGAGAAAAATAAAAAAGAATGAGCCAGCCATGTCAAGGTGTGCACATTCACAAATAGAAAATATTATTAAAATATATCAAATGCAGATGTGTTTTGACATTTAACTGGCATTTGGGCTGAAGCTCATAAACAGTTTCCCTGACTTTTGTCAAGCATTTACATAATTTGTTCAAAAGAAATCCTCCATGGTACAAATAGGCTTGGTTTCTCTCACCATCCGGAACGTAAATGTCATTTTCCAACATTTTCACATGGACAGGTAGATTTATTGTGAATAATGAACAGAAAATACAGGTTTGTCTATGTCTCAATGCTCCTTTGACAGACTCCTAAGTCATAGAACATGATGTTTAAAAAAAGTTCAGAACATTTTAACCCATCATCAACCCTTTGGGAGCAGGAAATGACTACTACTAGGTTTCATGATTTAGCATTTTGGGGACACTTTTCTCCCCAATCTTGCTGCCTAATCCATGACAACAGGCTATTTGTCCAAATATTTAAATTATTCTGGATTCTGTTCTTTAGGGTGTAGAAGCTGCACTGTCAGAAAGACCACTGTGACAGCTTCTGTTCATACTACTAGAAAAGAACTGATTCAGTTAAGTACTGGCAGAAGCTGTGATTTCTGAGCATCTCACGTAGGCTTTTGAGTAGTACGCACAAAGTGCAGCTCCTAAGATTTTATTCTTTCCCTGCTGAGCTAAAGCTAGTGAATGGAATCCTCTGTATTCATTAAGTATGGTGTATGAACTGCAGGTGGATGAGCAAAGCAGCTATGAAGTTGCAAACAGTGAAAAGTACTGCAGGTTACTAACATACAATTAAAATTCATTGAGATAAACCCTAAAGGGTTTGGTGGGTTGGTTGCCCCCCCCCCCTTTTTTTTTTTTTGGAACAGTCCAGGAATTCGGTAAGGCTTTTTGATTCAAATGAAGAAACAGCAAGTCCAACAGGCTGCTCTAATCTGCCTTTGCTGCAAATCACCACCCGTGGGCGCTTGGGCAGCCAGTGTGTGAATCCACAGCCCTGACCACCTTCCTCCCTTTCCTCACTCACGCTGACGGCCAAGGCTATAGGTGGTAGCAGGGAAGCAAAAGGGTTCCCTGCCTTCTTGGCAAATGGGACTCTCACCGATTACAACATTTCTGCAGGAAAAATGCAAAACGGTTTTTGAAGAATGACTGAAGTCTGCTTCACGTAGCCATAGTAGGACAGAGAAGTGTTAAGGACTGAGGAACTTGCTCACTGTGCCCAAACTCACATGAAGAATGAATACTAAAAATCTAATGCCATACCACCACTGAAGGACTCAATTACACCCTCCTACATGGAGGAGCATTCAGAGAGATAAAGCTTCCATTCTCTGATGAAATGTATATGATACCTAAAACCATAATCACAAGATGTGCTTCTGAATACAATACAGAATATGTGTTTTTCCTAAAAGGTGATTAGGTATTTAAGAAAATAAATATCTTCCCCCTGAAAGACCAGAAAGAAAGAAAAGTTAACAACAAATTAGTGGCACAGTAGCATGGTAAGGCTGTGCATTGAGCATGTGCATGGTAAACTAAAACCAGTGAGCACAAGTATGTTATGGACTGGCAGTGGTTTCATAGGTGAGAGTTCTCACTCTTCTATTTCAGCATGAAAAAAATTTTCAATTATGAGAAGATGTCTGTGTGTCAGTAGCACACTTGGATTTCCCAAAATGTGTCTGCATGCTTTCTTGTAGTTTTCTATTCATTAAACATACAGATGCATTACTTCATATTAGGAACTCTCTTTCAAAGTATATTACCTTACTCGTGTTTTATTTCAAATTGCTGAATAACAAAAAAAGCACAATATTGTACTGACGATAACATAATGAAACAAGTTTGAACTTTTCATGCGTGCAAAATTAAGATTTCCTCCTTCATGCCACGCATTTAATGTTCACGAAATTTATTACAGCAGGTTTTCAAGCTTCTCATGTAAACTTTTGCCAGTTCTTGAGTTTTCATTCAGAATTTCAGGATGATTGAAGACTTTGTTGAAATACATTATGCCAGAAATATCTAAGTAAGTGAGAAACTGATTTTTCATTTTCAAGTTCCTATTCCATATGGTCATGGGAAAAACCCTCATTGACCCAGAAGCTAAAAGCTCCAAAGGAAGGCCATAAGCAAGGACCTTTGAATACACAATATTTTTTATAACATCAAGATTTTGAGAAAGCTATATTTGGCACTAATATTGAATGCTTGGGTTGCTAATTGTGAAACCTGGCTTGCTGTAATAAATCTTCCACTCTTCTAAATAAGCACTACAATTCGGAAATTAAATTAAACATGCTTCAGAAAATCTACTGGGTAATGATGTGACTCCTATTTCCACCACTGGACTCTACTCCACAGAAGATACAATTTCAATAATCCTACCTGCAAGATGGACACAGTCTGTGAGAAATGGTGCTGTTCCATTGTTGACGTGGAATAAAGAGCAGCTAAGGGGTGATCAAATTTCTGAAGATAGCTGTTGCTGTAACCTCTGTGATCCAGGTCATGACACAGGCATGCAACTAAAAGACCTTTTCGCTACAAAAAAAAAAAAAAAAATTGAGATAAACATGAAAAGTAAGATGTATTTCCTGCCCCTAGATGTCACTCTCTTCCCAAAATACTGTAGAAGTTGCACTACGCTTACACTGCCTTAAAAAGCACATGGAGAAACATCCTTAAAATTGCGAGAAACACAAAAGTGAGGATGTGCTGAACTAAAATTCTCAGTACAATTGTAATTCAAAACTTTTCTATATTACAAATTTAAAAAACATTGTCGCATAATCACATCCTATTGGAGGGATTCTGCTTCAGGAAGAAATCTGAGTTTCAAACAGATAGTCTGGGCATCCACTGAGTCTTTACCATGTTTATTAAAAAAATAAAAAGTGCAGTTAGTGAGGGAAAGGAAATACATAAGATGTATGATCTCCTGGTCAAGGCAGCTGCACCAAAGGCCGATGCTAGAGACTGCAACTCTCCTCGAAGACACTGACCAAGTCTCCTAGCTGAAATTTTTCCTAGGAAGCCACAGAAACACTGGAAAACGGCAATTGCAAACAAAGTAAGATGGTAACTGTTGTTTGTTTTTGGTTTTTTTTTTTAATTTCATTAACTCTTAATATCCTGAAGAAATGGAGTCCCTGAAATATCTCTTTCAAAGCACTAAATACGTGAACACTTGCAAAAGTTTTTCCACACAGCAGGTGTTTTGAAAACACGTTCATTAATGTTTGTGAAGCAGTCGCTGTTGGCATTGAGTATTGTAAAAATGTCTTTATAGATTTAACAGCTCTGTCTTACAGTTGGTTCTGACGAGTGTTCAATAAACAAGGATAAGGCTATAAAATGAAGCAGAAAAAGAATACTTATTAACCACCTATTAAGTGAGCAACATCCAACCTATATGCTGTACTGAGGGGCATATGATTCTGTGGAAAAATAGGAAACAATGACGTAACTAAAGATTTTATCACAAATATACAATGGGCAGAATTCAGTTTGTAGCAACCCTAGCGGTATTTCTGATTTTCACACCTTAATTTTTATTTTAAATCCTTCACTTTTACTTTTAATGATGTCTTTTCCATATTGCATCTTGTGAAGTTCATTTTTAAAAAGCATGTAATAAAACAGATGATACAGCATCACATGTCCACACAGATCCCCAGCAGAAGTGAAACCCTTAGGAAGATAACACACACCTATAGTACTTGAAGTCTTAGATATAAGGAAGAAATTTTTTTAGGATGAGGGTAGTGAGGCACTGGAACAGGTTGCCCAGAGAGGTTGTGGATGCCCCATCCCTGGCAGTGTTCAAGGCCAGGTTGGATGGGGCTTTGGGCAACCTGGTCTAGTGGAGGGTGTCCTGGCCCATAGCAGGGGGGTTGGAACTAGATGATCTTAAGGTTCCTTCCACCCCAAACCATTCTGTGATTCCATGAAGTCATGCAGTAACAGCCGTAGGAAGCTGGTATCCCCTTTTCACTACTATCAGGAGGGGCAAGACATGTAACCAATAGACTTGAAAATCAGTCTCTGACAGCAAAAGAAAGAGGAGTCTCAGAATCCTTTGTGCTACCTGTTAGATCGACTGGGCATAAACTTTTCTGTCCTTCCTCCACAAGTTTAATTCTCCTGTTGCATCCTTTACGACCTGTGTTTTTTCCAGTCTTGCAATTCTTGTCAGTCTGTCCCTTCTACCAGATGGTTCTCTTTGTCTAGTTTGTCCCAAACTCCATGTCCCAGGAAGTCACTCTTGTCTCAGTCCTTCAGGATTATACAATGACTAATCCCAGTGCTCTTGACCTTGTACCCATTGTCCCTGCTTGGATCCCAACTCTTTGACCACTGCCAACTGCTGGATCTTATTTGTCTCTAGATCAGAGTCCCCTTTACAGTGTTTCATCTTTCTCTTCCCATATCTAAGTCTGTCAAGATTCATGTCATCATCCCTCACCTGAGATAAACCCATCCTAGTTCCCCAAACTTTCCTTGAGCAGTTTCCAGTATTCTTGTGGATTCATTTCCAGTCTCAAGAAAGGAGACTGCTAGAAAGAGCTGGAACATAGGCTGGGATAAGTCATTCAAATAGATGAGGCTGGCTGGAGTTTGGCAGGGAACAAAGACTGCTTCCTTCTCTCAACCGCTTCCTCTTTTGCTCTTCCTGTCTTTCTTACTCTGCATCTCCCAAAAGATGGGGCTTACTACTTGGTTAGTATTGAATATTATAAGAACTTTAAATATTCCCTGAGGCTGCAATCCACAGATTTTTGTTGTTAAAGGAATACTGATTATTTCAAACTTTGTCAACTTTCAGCATATGCCTGGCAAACGCCACTTTCCTATTTCGATGTCAATTTTCAAGTCCCTGATTTACAGCAGAATAAGCTAGACCTTTTCAAATGAAAGATCACCACATTTTATTTTACTCTTATATACTGAAAAAACCCTTGATTTCTCCTGGCATGTTTCTTTAAAAGAGTCAGTTTTGGCTGAAGTTTCCTCAAATGAATCAGCTTGAGGAAGTCAGAGCTTGGAAAATGACAGACTACATGGCTAGTATTTGGCAAAGTTATACAGAACTGAAAGCAGGTTCTCCCAGTCAGAAGTTTCAGGTAGTATTAATGGTAGACAGTACTCCCAGTTGCACCTACCACAATTAAAAAAAAAAAAAAAAGGGACAGTTCTTCATAGTGTATATTAACATTTAACTATTCTAAGCCTTATATTTTATTATTATAACTTTTCCAGTCAGTGATCTATTCAAAGTAATTTTTTTTCCTGATTTTTTTAAACATTATGCATTTATCTTTAAAATATGTACATGCACGCTAAGGAAAATTGTTGTATAATAAAAGCTAATCGTGCCTTAGCACATTTGGAGAACTCTTTTCCTTCCGTCCTTTCTACTCTTCTCCTTTACTCACATACATCAACCATCTCTGCAACACCAAGCCCTTCTCCCTTGTCCTCCTATTCAGGGTCTCCCAGTCCTCACAGGGTTCAAGATCCACGGTGTTTCCCTCCCCTCAGTCAGATCTGATGGTTAGTTACATAATTAAAAATGAAGACTGTGGTTATAAGTGGGCAGGGAGAACATCAAAATGTGGACATCGACTTATAGCAAATCTCCTATTGCTTCTTCAGTGGACAGACCTGAAAAATGTGAAGGAAACACTAGGATTAGGAATTCTCCTTCCGCAAGCTTTCTACTCACAGCCATTCCTCAGCAGGGACACTTGTATACACTCTGCCCAAGCTGAAAGCTGAATAGTATAGAAAACGTACTTCTACGATGACTGGTACCTCTGATGAGGTCTGGTAACCGATACAATCATTTCACCTACCTCTAGATCAGTGAAAAGCCCCTGGTTGTTCTGAAGTATGGCATACATGCAATGTGCAACGGTAACTGCATGCTTCCAGTTGTGGTAGGGCACACGGCGATAATTCTTCTTTACAGACATAGTAAATCGGCATAGCTTTTCAAGTTCAAAGCTAGAAAAAAATTGATTTGGTCAGAGACAAGAAATAAGAAAGGGAAAATAACCAACAGAGGAAAAAAGATGCTCTTTGATTTCCTCTTCTTGCTAGGATTGACTCTCATTGTGGATGACTCATTCATTACAAGAGTCATTCGAGTTTTGGCAAGGACAGAGGAGCGTGGATACCTGACAATGCTCTTAGTTTAATCTGTAAAGTTCTGGAACAGAAGTCAAGCTACCCAGCTCAGGCAACACAATTTTATAACCTTCCCTGCTCCCAGAAACTTGAAGTGTGGTTTCTTTCAAGCGTTATCTATTCAACCTGCCAGATAGCGAAAGTCTGCATCTAATGGACAATTTGAAAACATCATTTGTGATCAAAACAGAGAATTAGGGGGTTTTAAGTGAATGACACAGAAAAAATAATCCTGTTTAAATTAAAATTTCAGTCAAACACCAAATGCATAAGATGTTTTGAATAAAAGAAGTTGAGATGCTCCATATTGACATTATGAAAAGAAAATTTTAGTTTTCCTAAGACTTTGAGATTTTTTTCCAGTTTAGTCAAATGAACAGAAATTCACATTTCCCTCTTTCTTCATTTTTCACCAAACAATATTTTGTTAAGTAATTGCCAGTCAACCATGAAAATGCCACAAATCTGTAGCATTTATGGGATTATTTCTTAATTTTTTTTTTATATTTTTGCTATTAATATAGACAAGCAAAATGAATTTATGATAGTATATTTTCATTAAGGTAATAACAAAAAGCAGTAATACAGTATTTGTTATGTTTGGCTTATGTGCTCATCAAAATCACTTTTGAGAGAGTTCATATTCTGTAGTACCAGAGCTCTGAACAATCTTTAATAGACTTTATCTACCGATGTTCCTTTGAAAGGAAAGCTGAATACTTTTTGATTACAGATGGGAAGTTCAGCCACAGATCAGATATCAGGTAAAATTTTCTAAAGTACCTAATCCAAGCTGCCCAGGGTGAAAAGGGAATATTACACTTGAGCCCAGAACTGAACTGAAGATGCTAGAGTCCCAAGTCACTAACTTTTTCCTTCAGACAGATCAGTTTTCATTTATTCTCATTTTTTTTCCCTGTTACTGTGGTTTGACTTTTTTTTTTTTTTTTTTTTTTAAGTTCCATGTTTTGATAATTTCTTGGGTATCTCAGGGAAACGGTATCAATGTTCTAGTTTTGCAGTATGTGTGGGCTTAGAAAACAAAGCTGAATACCTCTGACCTACACGTCAAAATGTAATCACATCTACTATATGGAACCAGTTAGACAGAAAAACATCTTTCTATGGTTGTGTGCTGAGCAAGGTAATTACTCTTCTTAGCCTTAGTCTGACATTAGTAAAAATGGAAGCATATTGTCTTTCAAAAAAGCTTTAGGGTTTCTTTTTTAATTCTAGAGAGCTAAGTCAGCTTTCGAACAAATGTTTGAATGACTGTTTACAATAGTACATCATAATTCAGAATATCACAACAGTTACTTCCATCTACATCCAATATCAACTTGATGGTTACTACAGGACAGTACAGTTATAGCCAAAGGGCAAATCATTATCAATTATACTTCAATGTAGAATACTATTACTTACGCCACTGCTGTATTTTGTATACTTGATTAAAGCAGTAAAATATTATTTCTTCATGAGAGCAAAGAAAATGTAGTGAGTATCATAGATTTTACTCCAAAATCCCCCCTAGACAGGCCATTATATATAACATAGTTGTATACTTAAAGGCACAACCTTACTCCTCAATATATTAAAATCAAACTTCAGTCTTAAAATAGCTGTACTAGTTTCAGAGAAGTTTAGTTCTTTCAGAAATTAAATACAACGTCAAGCAGATATCAATTCTTTCCCATGAAAGTTACACCTTGAAAGAAACAGACTGGGAGGCAGAGAGGGAAAAGAACAGAACTCAACTGGAAATTTGAACCCCAATCCTGCATCCACGGCCATTCAGTCAGGAATGGAAACAAGCTAGCTACACTGAGCAGTAGAGAGCAGTATTTAGAACGGTCACCCACTTGGCAGTACTGAAGCAGACATGAGAAAGACCCTCAGGTTTGACTGTATGCTTTGAGGGCATGGAGATTCATCCAGTTACTAAGATGAAACAGTCACCAGCAAATGTTTCCCAAATGTTGCTCCGTTTTGCATAGAGATGCTTCCCCTTTCAATTGCCTGCCCATCTGCAAATTTTTTTCCATAATTTGGAGCAGCTTCTCTCTTTCAGCAATGGGATATACTTAGCCAAGAGGCTACTGATCTTAGTAATAATGGACAGAAAGAAAGGACAATAAATGAAACATTTCATCTGAAGATCATTCACTTCCAGAATTAATGCAAAATGATGCCGATAATTGATTTATTTAACAAGATAAGATCTAACTGTGGATTACTTTAACCATATACTATATTAATTTCAGCAACTACAAATTTGAAAAATGAGTATTCATGGACCTTCTCTTCTTTTTGGCAAGAGTGCCTTTAATATCTTCACTATCTTCTGTCTGAAAAGCAGTCTCATCTCAGAACCAAACAATACTTCTATATATTGGAAGGACAACTGTTTGGATGATATCATGAGTTCTTTTACCTGGCTATTTCCAAATTTTATTAACTGAAGGCCAAGAAGCTGGGACAAGAAATCCAGTCTGTTTATTACAGCCCTGTACAGACCAGACACAGTAAATAAACTCCAAAGAAAATAAGACCTTGTATTAGAAAATAATTATCTCAAAATTTCCTAACAAACAAACAAACACGTAAATAACAGAATTAAAAGAAGAAATAATGTATTTCATACCAGGCTGTCCCACAGGACTGGTGAACCATGTAGACAAAAATGGCAGGCCAGACATCCTCATACGGACTGATATCAAAGTGGTATCTAAGAAGAAAGTTTCAGCTTAGTAAGGACAAACACCTTCTCATTCTTACTAAAAGCAAAAGACAACTAGCTAACATACATCCAACAGCATTCACTTGTTTCTGAATATACACAGAAAACTGACTTTACAGGCTACGTTTTCCAGCAATGTAAGTGAATATATTTCTGCTAAGGTCAATGGAACTATGCTGATAGAATCATAGAATGATTTAGGTTGGAGAAGACCCTTAAGATCATTGAGTCCAACCATTAGCCTTTGGTTAGCCTTTGGCTTTGTTTAGTTAATAGAAACATAAATCTTTATTTAATTATCCATTGGTTAAGTAATGTGCAAAGATGTTTGTTCTACAGAGATGATGACAGCTTTTCAGGCACTGCTAAAATATTCCAGACTTTCCTCCCAGGAATTGTAAAGATAGTGTCTCTAATAATATATTTACTGGCTTTTTTTCAATAACTTCTGTCATGAATTCTGTGAGACTCACTTTAATTTTAATAGAGAAAAAAAAACACACAACTTTTACTGGCTAATTGAAATTAAGGCTGAACTTCAAAAATCAAACATTTCATACTGCATTTTTTAAAAATTTCATTAGCTGAGGACTTCTCCCCTTTTCCCGATATCAGCATTTAGGCCTAATATTAGGGACCCGCTCAGCAGAACTGTTTGTCCGTCGATTATTAATTAACCCCTTTCCCTGCACCTGCTGTGCCACAAGTCTTCTATTTACTTTGCATTGAACCCAGCTGAAAGCGTGCGCATATGTGGCATAGTGAACGGCACAGCAGGTGCAAGAGAGCTGAAGGTAGCTGAATTGCTTGCAAAATGGTTAAATGTATTCAGATTGCTCAAACTAAAGGATGTTAATATAATTTAGAGTGAAACCTGTAATCTTTGCAAGTAAAAGTCATTTTTGCTGAGGAGGTGGGTTATATAATATCATCTAACAAAGCACAAGAAATTGTATTGCGAAGAATAAGCTTCTATTAGGGTGTAATCCTGCAAGCTGCTAACACTCTGGCTTTCGAGCAAATCACTTCAGCATGTAATGAACTTTAACTGTAAGCAGCCCCTATTAAGCATAGGCTTGTATGCTTTGCTCGCTCACAGCTACAATGCTCAGCACCTGACAGGAGTGAGCAAGCTCTGGAGATTAGGTTCACAAAGACAACTTAGATTTTGTGACTCAGTATTATAGAGTTTTGACTTTAGGCACCTGGTCACCACAGTAGAATTTATTGTCCTGGGCTGGAATCAGTGAGGAAAAAACCGAGATGAGTCCTGGTGTTGGTGTTGAGTGGGGACTGACTGATAAAATACAGGTAGAGGCACATCTTTAGCATACAGCAGACCCTTCAGAGCTGAAAGTAACTGAATTATTTCAGGGAAAGGCTAAGAGGCTGAATGGGAAGTCCTCCTCCAAATTTAGGCCACAACTCTAAACTCTAGCACCTGGGATTCACAACCTTGAATTATCTTCAGAAGTTGAGATCTCTCTATCCATTTCCCCCTCCTTCAAGAAACAAAGGCAGATGCACAAAATACAGACAGCAAACAAAACCAAACCCCAACCCCCCAAAACCCAACCCCAAACAAACCCAGGAATGAGCTGAATCTTTTATTCTAAAACATATATAAGGGGATGAGATCATGCACCTGGTCTTAACTAGTGATGTTCCAGCTCAGTCTCTTCTCTGGCTTTGAGCTGTTGCTGACTTGGGACTATCAAAGAAAGCTCATGTCTACAATCTTTGGATAGAACCTAATGCTTAAAGCAACTACTCTAGCTCCCCATGTCTGAGGAGTATGCTACCATTCTGAGTAGGCATTATTTTACATCTTTGATAGATAAATTTTATTCACAAGTCATTAAGTACAACCATGTATAAGAAAGCCAGAGATAAACCCCTATGATTTTGGAATCATTCAATAATAAAAGTGCTTCCTAAAAAACCCTCCACTACACCTAGGAAAAAAAAAAAAATCATCTTTTTCACAGACTGATACAAGATGCAACTGTTGCTATACGAGAAAAATACTTACAGTTCAATTTCTTTATAAATATGCGGAGGCAGTGTACAGTGCATGAGGTTTTGCCACTCTTCTGCTGTACACACACTGTGGTAGGATAGCTTCTCCATCGTTACACGGTAAATACACTCTGAATGGCGAATTCTGTGGTACATCTGCAAAAGGGAAGTCATTTATTAATGTGAAATTTTAATAAAGGAAAAAAACATTTCTTTCCCATATTCAAGCACCTATGAATACACATCTGCAAAATGTGTATTCATTTTTAAAATACACATCTGCAAAAATGTTAGTGCTTTTGGCTGCTCAACTTCACACATTAGAAAAGCGAGAGATTATATGAAATTCAGTACTTCTGAAAAACTGGGCCTTCTATAACATCATTCTGCATCTACTCGGGTAACCATCTAAGGCTCAGCTGACTTTTCACTGCATCTGAGCTTTCCCAAGAAGAAAGAATCAAAACCCAGGAGTTAGAAACAGAGCTGTGGCCCTTGCGATATGCTAACAGAAAGAAAACTGATAACAGGGCACGAATTATATTTTGTGCTACTGCACGAATTCAGCTATTAATTGGCACAAATAACTGCTACCTATGCACGGTAAAAAGTACGTGAGATGTTTATCATACCTACATTACTATGCAATAACTGTGAAAAATAAGTACAGTTAATTATTGAGAGGTTCAGACAGCTATTGCAGACATGGCATAGTTTGTAAACAAGTAAGGACACAACAATTTTACTAGTAAAGATAGTCCTCTGGAGCAGTGTGCCCTGAATGGTAACATTCACCATCTAAAAAGTGTGAACTCCCACACAACTGAGTGATAGCATAGTCCCAAGTTTCATTTATACGCAGGACTTTCTACTTGCCTTGAGTTACATGAAACAAGTTTAAGTAATTGTTAGTAAAATTTGCTGCCCCAGTATACCGACAGCATGACGTTGGTGAAATGGCTTAATGTAAAATCACCAGGCTTAACTGGCATTGCATTGTATCTTACCTCACATGAATATGACACATTTGTTGTGTATTGCATTTTTATTGCATTTATTGCATTTTTATACTTATATAATAATGACCATTCAATTGCTTATGCTTCCTACAGGAGTACGAATTTTTATGATGACACAGGGTTTGAAAACAAAAATAGCTACCCACTTTTATCTAGAAGCATGGATAATTATGAGTATATTGCAGAGCATATGAATATATAAATTGATATCTTTGAATATTAAGCATATGGAATAGAGAGAATACATAACATCTCCATCTCCCAGTTAAATTTGTAAAGCATGTGATCTGAATTTATAAAAGTAAATCAGAATCATACTTTCTAATGGTAAAGAGAAGACAGGCAGATATCATTCACATTTCAGAGCTTGCTTTCTCAGTTTAGCTACATGAAATTGATGTATCCAGAGTACAACTATTTCAGAAAGCATCAAATGAATCCTTATCATCCTCTTAAAATACAATAATTCAGCAAAGAATTCAATAATTCCTGTTTCCTCATTAATTCAATGAAACAGACTTATGAATCACTTTAATAATCTGGAACATCAAAATCCTTAAGTAGGATTCTAAGTCTTCCCATTATAACCAACAGCTTACAAAACTGTAAATAAAACTTACGTTAGCACAGTGTAAGGCTAAAGCACAAAAGACTGCAAACATTTTAAAGTTGTTCTCGTCAGTTTTAGAGAAGGCACTTCCACTTATTTTGTTCACCATTTGCACAACACCTATTACACTTCCTCGGCTTACAATAGGCATGCACAGGATATTTCTGGTTGTGTAGCCTGTGTAGAGGTCTACTTCTCTGGAGAGCCAGAAAAGAGAAAGGAAAAAAAGAAAAGAGTTAACATTATTAATTAATATTATTCCTTGATTCTCGGAAATGTTGATGTACAATATACTAAATAGTTTTAAAGTAGATTTAATGAGTACCTGCGAGAAGTTCACCTCCAAAGCTCTCAAATATTTCCATCTAATGTGTCATATTTAGAAAGAACTTTTTAGTCGTTTAATCTCCATTTGCAAGATAAAGAAATAATACTTCCTCAAATGTACAGTCAGCTTATTCATAAAATTAAAGAATACATTCAGGTACTTAGGTATGCTATTTGTTAGTGAACCTTTTTTTCCTCCCTTGAAACTAACCAAATGGTAGGGAGGCTAATAAAGAAAATCAGCAATGCCCACCTAACTGGGCAAAGTTCCGTAACAGGAAAAAAACCCTAAATTTTTCTCCCTTATATTTATACTTGATAAAAATAATACTTTTTATTTGCACTTAAAAATATCTCTGATGGCTAAAGCCTTTAAAGAGATATCTGTAGGCTGTCTCCTCATCAGAGGATCACAGATCCATGAATGCATCCTAATATGAAAGTGGTGAGCTATCTTCCCCTCCTTTGAATAACATCCTACCTGTTAAAGCGTGGATCTGCATAGGCATCAGGGATGTTAAGGACTTCTCCTGTTCTTGCCACTTGACCAGCTATTCCTTTTTCTATAGAAAATCTGCAGAAAGTAAAAATGTGTGTTATTCACAATATGAACTATCTGGAAAAACATTTTAGGCACGGTAATGGATATTTATTCCCAACCAGTGTCATTTTGATGCTTGTAGGAGAAAAGTCTTACAAGACAACAACTAGTAGTAAATAATAAAATAAAAAAGCACATACTAATAGGTATTTTCTGAAAACATTTTAAATAACTACATAGTTTAACACAACAGATGCCATCATATGACCATTGTAGTGACAAAAAAAAAAATCAAAGTCTTCAGTAACCCTGAGGTTTATGCCTAATAAACATGACATTTGTACAAAACTTGAGACCTGTGTTTACCTTTACAAGCTATTGATTTTATCATTGCTTCTACATAGTTATTGTTTCTTTAGACACATCATAGGCAATATGGAGCTTGTTTCTTCGGGGGCGAGGAGGGGCAGATGGATTAGGTAAAATAAGCTTTGGAAAAACACCAGCGGAATATTCAAAGCTAAATATTATATGCATTTGTCATGTAGACTTCAGAATAACTAGCGTTTTTCATCTCAGGACATGCAAAAAATGCCATGGTACTAACTGCATCCCTTAATCACCACAAGAAAGTTAAACACAATAAATATATTCTGGAGTTGAATCCAAAAAATCTACAAGTCTGTCTTGCAAGGAAATACTTTTCAATTCTTTGACATAAAACATTTATGACAACAAGCACAAAAGAATTTGTGGAAAAAAATAAGTAGAAAAAGAATCATATGTGGAACACTTTCAAATCTAAATGTGCCCAGGTAGTATGCTGCCCTCACTGAAGTTAGTGACAAAACTGACAGGATTTCACCCTGCAGACCTGATTTTAAGTTACTTTCTTCTGCTGCTGCTTACATGTACATCACACCAACTTCAGGCTCCTTCCTGATGACTGACTGACTCAGTGTCACTTTCTTACAGTTATTTCAGTTGTACTTCTCTTTCAGTATAGAGGACCCATGAAATGGCTCACACCCTTGCACTCAGAGTCAACATTTCAATAATTTTCATACAGAAAAGACAGAAAGACATAAGCAAGAAAAGCAATTATCAAGAAGGTGTATGAAAGTGTATGTATGTTAAAGCAAGCCACCTTCTTTAATTTACACCACCTCCTTGCTTGTCAGTACCGAGATTGCACCAATTTTGATTCCTTCCATTCTTAGTCACACAATGTAGTAAGTGGGAGTAAGTTTGTCTAAAAGAGTCTAAGTGAAGACATGAATCACATCTCATACTGGCCCAGAACTTTAAAAGTATAGGAGGAAATAAAAAAAATTCTCAGAAAATCCATGCTGAGTATTTCAACAAGATTTTAGTGCAGGATATTTAGTCATGCATTTCTTTCTTTTGAAGAAGCTGCAAGTTTAAAACTTGTGTGTCTTTGGAAATCTCATTCTATATCTATTAAGAATTCGTAATTTTTTAAAAGTAAAAAATGTTATATTTACTTTGTTGTTTTGTCTCTTTCATTAAAAAACATGCAGGTGCAAAAATTACGTACTTGTGACATGAAACAGAAACACACATCAGTTTGAGGCAGAGGATCGTATGTATTCATTACAAGCTGATATACAATATATTTTCAAATTCACCACTTCAAGCATACTTCAGAATCACAACTATTTAAAAGTTTGAAAATACTCTAAATCCACATGAGAAAAAGTAAAACTAAATTACTGGACTTGAACTCTTCAAAACCAACGACCAGTCCATACTAGATTCTACATATGCCTAATCCATCTGTAAGAAGTACAAATTGTGACTTCCTTTAGATGTGCTTGAATCGCACAAATTTCAATTCCTCTTGGGAACCCTCTTGGGAAAAATAGTCCTATACTGGCAGACTATGGATTAGGTGCACCTTTACCTGCCTGCACCTTTACCTACCTCAGAACACCTCTGTTTTTTTCCCAACATGATTTCCAAAAGGACCGCCTCCGGAAGACGGCATTTCCAGGAGTGACGTTATAGCTTCAGAGACGTTGTTTCGATGGCACTGCAATGTCATTCCCAGAAGTACTACCTTCTGGAGGCGGGTCCTGGTGGGAATGATATCACAGTATGACAAGTATTGTCAGGGTACCTGCAGATAGGCACAGAGACTGGGTAATAAAATGCCTGCACATCCGTAGTTATAATGAAACTGCATTCTTCTGCTAGCTACTCTTACCTTATTTCTTTGGTCTTCTTGAAGACAGGTTTCCCATCATTTTCTTCTCCAATATCAAAAAGGTCTGAATACAGCTCCTTATTTTTGTGGTCAACCTGGAAGAGTGCACACCTATCTGCATTCACCAGGTTTTTTGCATATATCTATGGACAAAAAACAAAACTAGAGTTAACGGTCACAAGTTAGATTATCTTCAGTCATTTATCTGATAAAAACCTAAGTCCCTAGAAGACAAAAGTTTTGAGAAATTATCCAGTATGAAAATCTGTTTGAAGGAGCATCCACCTTCACAGCCATGTTTTAGGATACAATTCAAAATGAAAGCGTGTCTTTTATTCAGCACTTTTTTGTAAATTAGAGTGCTGTCTTTGAGAAATTCAGAACTATCTTTAGAGGCTTGAATGTTTGCTGAAAGAAAAAAGGCTTTCCTATTACACTGTTTTTCAAGTACAAGGAATATTTCTCAAAACCTTTCCTCCCTCTATGGAGGGAGGAACCTTTCCTCCCTCTATGTTTAGATATTATTCACCTTTACTTGTCTTTGAGAAATTCAGAACTATCTTTAGAGGCTTGAATGTTTGCTGAAAGAAAAAAGGCTTTCCTATTACACTGTTTTTCAAGTACAAGGAATATTTCTCAAAACGGTACCTTTCCTCCCTCTATGTTTAGATATTATTCACCTTTACTTGATTTTAGATAGCAAGACCTAAGAATATTTTTGGCTTTTTGTCTTTATTTTCAGTGCAAATATATCGGCATTGAACATTCACCAAAGAAAGTACCATAGTCCAGCAATAGAGTTGCATCGTTTCTATCATACTTTGAACCAGCTAGTTTTATCTTAGCAAAACTAACTGCCAGCCAGCACTGTCAGAACAGCAGCTCTTCACTGAAATGGTTCTCAGACAGAACCTGTTCTATCCAATTCAGATACGTCTCCTGTGTTTCTCATCTGCTCAGAAAGTACAGTAACTGCACGGTAGAGCAGGATCTGAGGTGGATCTCACTCAACTTTTTAAAATTGTATATAATAGCTATCTAGTCATTCAACTGCAGAAAGAGGCTGACTACATCTTGGTGTGCAATGCATGCAGATAGCATGTCTTAAGAACCACACAGAAACCATCTAGACCAACTCTACAAAACTTGGAGGGCCCTCCCGTACCAACAGCATCTGTGGCTGGGAAGACTCTGTTGCTTTCCACTCCATTTACTCCATCAGAGCTGTAGAAAGTCAGGGAGACTGCATGCTAAGAGGTAACTTTTGTGAAATATTTCCCACCTAGAGCATTAAGGCGTTTAAAGATCTCAACCACGCACACCATTTATTTCTTCACTCAGAACAGAGTAGATATAAACTGGACCAAAAAGGACAAGGGGCTTAAGCACTACTAATTGAGAGAAAAAGTTAATGGGATGAGAAAGTCTTACTTCTCTAAAACCCTAGCTAAAATCCAGGCCAGTGGCTGAAGGGGAATATAAGTACAAGTATTGCACTGTCAGTAGGGAGGCCAGGGACCACCTTTTGGGTAGGTTGTTTGTAACTACTCAAGTATATTAGTAAGAAAATTTGCAAGGCAATTTGAACTTCTGCTTCCCCTCCTTGCATCTATATTAATAAACACCTTTTACCACTAACTTCGCTAAGGGTTTTTAAGGAAAATAAAAATCAAAAGAATGCTAAAATCCCTGTACTTTTTTTTTATTATTATTACAGGAACAAATCAAACTTTAAGTGCAATCACCAATACGACACAGAATAAGCCACATAATGCTAAAAATCACACTCCCATAAAATGGCAATAAATGTGCAAACATGTAATTCAGTTCATTGGCCCAAGAAACAGCCAACTGCTACAGCTTTCAAAGGAAGCTGAGTATGAAACATCTACGCAGGTTAAAATGCAGAATCATGATGCAGCCAAGTGTTGGAAAAGAAGATGAAAGAGTAAGCTTATTTTACTGCCAATTGTGCTTTCCACCAGACCTCTATTCATAGGAGAGAACAGGGAAGAATATCAATATTTGTGCTCAATGCCATATGTGATATTACACTAGTTCTTTTAAATGTTAAGCTATTTTTAAGCAGTTCATTTAAATTGGAAAAGTCAGTGTTCAAAAATGTGTCCTATGTGCAGAATTCTTCACTGTGTACTAACTAGAATAAGACAAACACTGCAGAATATTTTCCATTACTAATTCAAGTTTCTAAATAAAACCACTTTAATATTGTTTGCATTCTAAGTTTGTTGTCTTTGGATAGTCTAGCTAAGAATATCACTTTGAAGATTGGAGCAAGTATTGGAGTACTGTTGGAGAGTAATTTTTTGAATACATAAATTGAAACAATATTATCACAGACCTGATTAAGATTTAAATTCAGAAAAAAGAACTGCAGTATGCAATAAGTGTACCTAAGGCTAAAAAGCATAATTCAAATAACACTCAAAACATGCTATGAACAATATTTGTAACACTATTCAGGAAATAATTCTGAATTCAAAATTGATTCAGAAAATTATAATCTGTTTCTGAACTATACTTTAATTCATTGATTATACAATCTCAGTTATTTCAATGAACTTGGCTTTCACGGGTTTTTTTATAAAACATTGACTGACTCTGTCACTCCAGTTATGGGTGTAAATACTTTTGCAAAGCAAAAGTGAGGTCATGTCTTGCACATTTCATTCAGCAACTGGAACAAATACTCTAGGAGTAATGTTTGACCTCTAGTCCTTCCTACAGACAATAACTTCTCCAGAAGTGTTTTGCAGCAGGTTGCAAATTGAATTTGGGGAAAAAAAAGAATCAATACAACAAGCTGAAGTAAAAAGAAAACCAGAAGGCTGTTACAATTTTTCAAACCTTCTCTAAAACACAATAGTAACTATTTAGTTCAGGGACAGTCACATTACATTACTTATGAAAGCTATGAAATGAAGCTGTTGTGACAATGAAAAAAATCAAGCTGACTTTTGCCATCTTCCTCCATACAGAGATGTTAATACTGTTTGTATTACATGTCCGTTATAAAGAGCTCATATATTTCAATGATGTAACATCTTACTTTAAGGAAAGGAGAATGAAGTACTTTAATAACTAAGACTAATAAACTTAGAAGTGAAAAAGACAACTTACCATTATATGTTCAAGTAGAGAATCTATTGCAACTATGTTATCAAAATACGTTCTGCAGAGAAAGAGAAGTCAGTAAATATTGGCATTTAGTCAAACACTTCTCAGATGGCTGTCATGGGCTCGTTTCACAACCACTTAACAGTGGAGCCCAAATAGGTGAGGACAAACCTGTGTGACTTGAAAATCACTGAGTAGCTTGCTGTAGCACAAGGGAATTGAGAAGTGGTCCTAATTCTGTTCCTTTAAATCATTATTCTACAATGACAGAATTGTAGAATATTCTCTATAATACGTAGAATTTTCTCTGTAGAAAAGGAAAAGACTACCAAATGTAGCCTACCATGAATTGAATAGGCCCCTGCTGAGCAACACCGAGAATGTATCAAAATGCTTTGGCATCCTTTACACACTGAAAATTTTAAAAGGAGAAGCAAAAAGGAAAAGGCAAGCAATCCAGAAAATTAAAAAAAATAATTTCTTCCATTGTTGATATATATTACCTCCATGCTTTCAAAATATCTCATTAGGTTTACGCATAGAGACTATGTATTGAGAACTAATGAAAATTACGTATTGTAGTGTAAATTCACATCCTATTATACAACCCTTAACACTATTTAAAAGAAAACAGTTTATAAAACTCTTAATGAGTCTTCTCTATCAACCCAGGTGTAGCGTGTTGAAGTTGCAAAAGAAGACTGATCTTGTGATTTAATTGAAAAAAAAAGGTATCTCAGTTTCACAGCAAAGTGGTCCAAGGACAGTCAAGAACATTGAAAGATAAAGGTCAAACTTATTAGTAAGTGAAGTCTAAACCTTCCACATGCCAAGTCTTAATAACACTTGGATTACAATGTTCCCAGCAGACAGAAAGACATTGTCCCACGGCCTTGAACATATATACAGCTCAGGTCTCTTTAGGTCTACTGAAAAGGAAATATGTAATACACTAGTCTTACATTGTCAGGGACATGAAGAGGTGGAGCACTGCATACTATGCCCTTTATAAAATGTTAAAGAACATGTCCCAGTGACATTGCATGCTAACAATTTCCTCACTGAATAGGAAACCATCTTTCCATGCAAGAAAAGGTACAGACCATTTCTAAGAGGAAACCAGTTATTTTCTTGCTAGCACATGCCTTTATCTACATGAGGTTGATAAAGTTGTTATTAAATGATATCCCTATCATAGGGATACACAGAGTTTCTTTTTTGTTAAAACTAAACAATTCTAGAAATTGATAATGCTGTATGAGAGGTATTTTCTTATACAAATACATTTTAAATACTTGCAGTATTTATTGTAATTTTTATCTTCAAATTTTAAAATAATTACGAAGTTCTTTAAAACATTCTTAGTATTACCAAAAGTAAACTGCCAGCCTATAAATTTGGGTAGATTAATCCAGAGTTCTCCAGTAAACTAGCTCAGTACAGATGTTAGCAAAATAAAAGCACTCTGGAAAGGAACATCATGGTGCAAGACACTGCAGCAAGTACGTAGCTTTGGCAAGGGAATGCTGAGAGTGGCCTTTAGGAAACACACTCTGAACCTAAGCTGAAATTAAAAAAAAAAACAAAAAACAAAAAACCACCACCAACAACAAAAACCCAACAAAAACAACAAACACATCATCCCTGAGGAAAAAAGCTAGGGAAAACATCTGGATACAACCAGCTTGCTCTCCTTGCAAGGGGTAGACTCCTCCCTGCGATGTATCACTCCCCACTCCAGCCGGGTCTACTTGGCTGCCTGCATTCCTGAGTAATGGCATAGGAATCTTGGACATCCTCTAACTTCATCAGTTTGAGACTTGTTCATCAAGACCCACAGAAGTGTTTGTAACAGCAAAAATCCGAGACATCTCATTTTTCCGCAGTATCATCAGTCCTTTGTGATGCACTTAGAAATTCTTCAACCAAATAGTTTGATAAAACACTCCTAAGCACCCCAGACCACGATTGATCAAAAATACAACTTTGGTTTGTCTATTAATGTATTGGCTACCTCTGCTATTTAAAGATGATGATAACAGCGATGAGAAAAAAGGGATTAAGGAAGAGCAGATGACCTAAGATACCAAATTGACTTTGCAAGTCTAAACCAAAGCTTTCACATTCTTACTGTGTTTGCATTTTAATCTTGCATTTATTGTGACAAGAAATTAAAAGAAAACATACTACATGCAGTTACAGTCTTTGAAAATGAAAACAGAGCCTCCAGAAAATGCAAGGGAAGAACAATTGTGTGGCAGCTCTGATTCTTCAAGGATATATCCCTGAAGCCCATATACTTATGCATGTGTGTTTGTGTCTACATACATACATGTCAAAAAAGGAGGAGGGAAGCTGAAGCAAGCAAACTAACTTTTCATAAAGTCCTTTCAAACCTTCCAAAATTGGCCATGAAAAGAGATGACAAGACTATTTGTCATTTGTCAAAAGAGGGCCACGTTTAACTCTGACAGAAGAGAGGAAAAAAAAAGGCAAAAACCCATGCAAAAGACCACAAAAGTTCTGTAAGGATGTTACATTTTCTTCTTCACCACCAACAAAAAGAGAGTTTAACAGGTATGCACCACTGCCATCCACATCATTCATTCTTGTCCCTGTACTGAAGTTTGCCCACCCTCTGAGGTGTGCCTTTGCACCTGCTTGTGAGCTACAGGTAGATTGGAAGAGTCATGTTAGAAAAGTTCATCAAAATAAATTGATGAAATTCTATTGCAAATCACACTTACTTTGATACATCAAGCAAGAAGTCATTCAGTTCAGTCTGCTTGGCAAGGCCCCGGCACACCTGGAAGCACAGACCTTGTTATCATTTGGTCCAGAAGATCACTGAAGTCAGAGTCTACCCATTTAATTAGTATGAAAAAAATACCACTCCTAGTATATACATATGTTACAGCACTGTATAAAATTAAAAGCTGGATTTGTGTGCTGGGCTTCAAGCTTAGCTGACTTAAAACTGTCAAATACAAGCAACATCTTTCTTAAGACTCTTTGAAAGACATTGATTGTCACGCTTGTTCATGCCGCCTCAAAGGCTGCCACTCAATGTGGTTATGGAATCAAAGACATGTCCTTATCCACACCACCAGCTCTGCTGAGAATGTCAAATATTTTGTTTGTTTTCTTCCTTACCATACTTTTACCACTTTTTTCCAGGTTGCCAAGTAGCATGTAGACACAACTGAAGACTCACATCAGGCAAGTTTAAGTACGCTAAGTACCAGATGATATATGCTCAACTTTTCCAGAAATCGGCATGAATATGAATGCATATTACATTTTAGAAGCAAAGTGTTAGATGAAGTAAAGCTTTGAACTGTATTTTTACTTCACTTAATTGCATACTCTGTATCTAAAGTACAATTGTATACCTGTATATTACTAGAGCAAGCACTAAGATCAAAAAAAGAAAACAAGCCTCTACTGTTTGTACCTTTTACACAATAAAATATCACTCAGAACTAGTAATATCTTTCATCTGTGCAATGCAGATATTAATAAATATGTAAAATGTGACAAATTACATCCACAAGCCTTACTCTTGCATATAACTATGCAAGGCAATTAGGTACAACTTCTTGATAGACACTACTTCCTAAAGCCCAGCTGTGAGTCTGGCAGGTATGGCCCAACACCAGATCAAAACATTCGCATTCTTCTCATGCAAAAACTTGGGAAGGGCAAGACTTCTGCTTAGCAGAAGGGAGAGAAATGAAAATGACCAATGGACAGGCTTAAACTAAACTTTCCATGGTTTGTTTTCTTAGGTGTGAAAGACTTCTTGGTTAAAGAGGGACTCATTGTTGCAAAGTGAAGCTATAACTAACTGCATGCAATTGCAATTCTATTAGTGTACAACAGTCTACACCAGCTAATTCTGCCTAAATGTGCCAGGGTGAATGACCATCCTAAAAAAAGTCAATGACTTCCAGCACCAAGGTGGCAAATATTAGAGCCTAGAAAAGCAGTAAGCTTTACGAGAGTCTTCTGCCAAGCGTATGAAAGACACCTTGAAAAAAAAAGAATGTCACAAACTTCCTCCTGTGAGTTGAGAGAAGAATCTATTTTAGCATCTTCTGTGAGTTGACAGAACATGTTTAGTTTCAGTATTACCATCTTCTCTTAGCTGAAGTAATAAAACCTATTAGCAAAGCTGCTGGTGTTGCTGGAGCAACTTGCACTGTGTGGAGCTTCATTAAGCACCTGACTAGGGACAGCATGAAGCATCCTTAGTGGGAGTAGTTAGAGGACCATGAAGCAGCTAGCAAAGTAGGCTGAGCCAGAAACACCTAATAATCTCAAACTGAATACCAAAGCAGGAGGAAAGCAAGCAGTTTTCCTAGCAGTTGCCTTCTTACAAGAAAAAAAATTGCAAAGTTGTTATAATTCCACTTTAACAAAGTAGACAAATAATTGTTAAAGCTTCTTTTTCCTTTAGTAAAAATACTGTTTGTTATTTGATCCACAGTTGCAAGTGAGAAAAACTAGCTCAATAAACACCAAAAAATGCTAGCATCTTTTTCCCATGTTCAGGGAAGGGGCTTGAATCAATGTTTTAGTAGTGACCTCCACTTAAATTTGATTATAAACCATGTTCCTACTAATCAAGTTCTTGCAGAAGGGTTGCACAATGAAAAAATGAAAAACCACCCACACTTACTTGTACTTGATGTATTGCTACTGAAGCCCATGCAAGATTTGCTGTTGCAACCTGAAACAGAAGAAGCGAACTCTGAACAAACCTGGAAAACTGCACATCAGTTACGTGCTCGTTTCTCTAGCTGCTAAGTAAATTGACTGAGCTGTTTTAGACAGGCAGGCGGTAACAATTTGTGGGAAGACAGTTATTTTGTGAAAGTCTCGTTATACTTGTGTTTCAATTTTAGTAAGGTACATTCAGTCAGAAGAGAACAATCCTCATTTTTCATATTAAAAAATGCTTACCAATGCTCTTCAGAAGCAATATTGGGACCCCATCAGCTCAGAAATAGAACATCTCAACAAATATCCCATAAGCCAAGGGCTTTAACAATTACAGTATTATGTACATTGTTGAAAGGCATCTGCCATAGAAATAAAATATCCCATAACATCTTTCTGGGGCTGTATCTCTTCAGCCACAGCTATTTCCAGCTGTAAACAGGCACTGTTTCTTTCACTACCATTTTGGTGGCAGAAGAACCAGACCCGATCCCTCAGCTCAAGAGTAGCGTTTTAAGTATGACAGTTTCCAGGCAACATTTCAAACAAATGTCATGTAAACTGCAGTTAACTAAGATGTGCTACCATGCATAACCTCCTGTCCTTGAAACACAGGAGCTTTATGGGAACACAGAGGACAGAAGTACAAGAGGTCTGCTGCTACATACCCTCCTAAGGTATTTTTTTTTTATTTTATTTTTTTTAAACAGAACATATTGTACACATTTTATGAAAACTGCTAATGGTATCCAAAGGCTTTCTGAAACCTGCAAATGAAAAGAATGTTTTAGAACACTCAAAGTGACCTTAAAATATTTTTAATTTACTAATAAAATACTTTTATTTAGCAGCCAGTCTTTTCCAAGTAGAACGTTCATGAATTTCAGTTACAGAAGGTATTTCATGTAACATAAAAGATTCATATTTGCACAGAATGATGCGTGTCTGAGACCTATCTGAATTGTAGATTGATTAATGTAATAGGATAATTTTAAAAAATAAATACATTGTGTGTAAGTAGCAGAATTAATGAACCCTGATTTTGTATGAATGCCTGTTCATTGTTCTCTGAGCAGGGACACTGGCACCACCATACCAGTCCAGTCCCCTACCATGACCTCTGCTTAATGGTGAAAAAATACCACGTGCGACACTGAGGCTGAAGTGACATTGACTGCCCAACTGATCATACATGTATGATCATCACATGTATGCTAGGCTACTTAGGTTACTGATAAACAGAACATAGAATTGACAAATATGGCTGGTTTTTCCTTCCTTAGGAGGGTTAGTTTTAATATCTCTTGTCTGCACGCTTTCTGTTCAGACAACAGACCTGGCTAGAACTCACTCTATTTTGTCCTAACCTCTGTGTTCAGGTTCCCTTCCCTGGGAAAGGGTACAGAGAGAAATGAATGGTACATTCACCTTAATGTGAGAGCCCTCTTAATGTGTAGATGGGACATCACAAGAATCCTCACCCAGGTATGAGAGCTAAGACACACTTCTAACACCTCTAATACAGTGATAGCCTTTGAGATATCTGCTCCATTTTGTAATTTGTTTGTACTTGGCTAACAACTCATAACTTTGCATTGACAAATGGACATGTATGAACAACGCAGCTACAAAGGCCTTCTATAAATATGGTAAACCATGCAGTGTAGAGAACAGACTTGGAAATGGGAAGGTGGTAGATGGTCATGAATGCGAATATCTGGATGGGGAAGCATCAGAAGGAGAAAGAAGAAAAAAAAAAAACAAAAAACCAAACCAAACCAATCCAGCAGAAGAGAATGGCAACTAGATTAGCAGGTCATCCAGGTACTAGCACATCTAGACACAGTTTCTAAAGACATCTAGGAGACAAAGGACAGTGAGTAAATCTTGACGACTTACAGAGATGAGACGAGCTAGAGACACAAAAGATGTCAGCTCCTAAAGGCTAGAGAAAAGGCTGACCCAAAACCAGCACATGGTTCCCTAGTAAACACAGGGACTCAACAGCTGGCATCCCTTGTCCTCCATGTCATTGCAAGGCATCCTGGAGACACTACCTGGATACGTGCATCTCTGTGCACAACTCTTGGAATACCACCTGGACACACACATCTTGGTGCCTGAGAGTGTGCAGATGTAAGAAATAAATAAATATAAATGAAATCTCTTTTCCTTCACTTTTGTTTTAAAATAAAATCACTTTCTCTTCCTGTGAGACCTAGCACTGAGACTTGCTACACTGTTGCTGCAACATCATTTTACGGCAGGACTCGTTCATTTGAGAAGCCACCCCAAAAAGTCAACTAAAAAAAATAAATATATATCTTTCTATACTGCAAAATAAAGCTTTTCTGGAAAATTAAAATTAAGACTCAGGATAACTCATCAGTGTCCTTTTTATATAAAATTATTTGATTTTCTGACATTTGATTTACACTTACATTTCATTCACCTGTTCTGCATTAACTTCTCTAACAACTCTGTATTAAGTTTAATCAATAAAGAAATCTTAAACCTGTTTTTCCACAAAAGAACACAAGGTAAAATTCTTGATGTGTGCCTTGTATATGTAAATTTTACCCCCTGTGACTGAAAATAAAAATCACTACCTATTTTTTTTCAATAAGTAACATTCAATGAGAACAAAAATCAAGTACCAAAAAGGTTAAAAAAAAACACGTGAGAAGAGCGAAAGAAGGAAGAAGGGGGAACAGAAGTGTTGACCATTGTGGGAAAGTGGGGAAAGGCTGGGCGTGAGCTCACCTCTTGGTGACTAAGGTGGAAGGCTTCTTTGCCCCAGTGACGGTAAAGCTCCAGGATACCAATCAGATCACCAATTGCAGTGACAATTGGCAAACACAGAACAGATTGGATACGAGTCCCTGATTCCAGTCCAGTACCTTTGGGAAATCGCTCATCCTAGAAAATGTAAACATAATCTGATAAAATGTAAATATCATAACGTTAACATGAAAGATATACTGATGTTTTCCTCCCTCTCTTGGCTGATCAAATCTGCAGGAAAATGATAAAATTCACTAAAACTCATATCTCTCAGCATAACCTACAGTATTAAGACATCTACTAAAAAAATACAATTAAAAATTCTCAGCATTAATTTACATATACAGATAACCTTATTGATAGCAAGTCAGAATTAGCTGTGGTATTAGACCCAGCTTTGGGTTTGTTTTTATAATACATTTTCTCTAATCTCACAGGCAGTAAAACCAGCACTTCATTGCTAATGCCAGTCCAGTTTACGTAAAAACCCAAACAAACAACACTACCCCATCATCCCCTTTCCCACCTGAAACCTCACCCCAAAGCATTTGTAATCATGAAAAGGACTGCTCAGATTTCAAGGTTACCAAGCAGAGAGCAGTGCTTGCAAGAGAACAAAAATCAAAACCTGAAGCTAAGGCTTTAGGATACACAAAGTTATAATCCTCAACCAACTCCCAAGGGGGAAAATATGTTCCCAAAAAGTTATGCATGACAGTAAGAATGTTTCTCCTTCCCTTGCTTATGCATCCTGAATAAACTGATGCAAAAGTTACAGGAACAAATGTTAAAATAATCCTACCTAGCTGCTGTGAAGAGCCTAAATTCATAACTTTTAATCTACATGGGGAACGTCCAAGGCTTTGTAGCTTCAGTTCCCCATGCAGGAAAACTCACAAAGACCAGAAAAACCACCTGGATGTTACATTTAGTAAGGCAATAACTATCTGATGTGAAGTGTGGGAGACCCACTTCGTTGCATATCAATCCTTCAGTACTTGATTTGTACCAGATGTTCCCTGCAGGCTGTGCTTAGGCAAGACAGACACTCCTTCAAGGCTGATCAAAATCTCTCCTTTCGCAAAGAAAACAGCAAGTAATCTCTACCTTAATTACTAAGATGACAATCAATCTGAACATCTAGGAACAAATGACAGACAAAAGAGAGTGGGAAGCACTTTGCAACACAAGCCTCCTGCTTTCACTTTTTAATTGTCCTCCCCCAAAAAAATAGACCTGGCAAGTGTATCTGCCAGTGCTTCCTTTTCACTGTTGAGATGCTCCTAAAAATCACATGAAGGCAAATAATGTTGCCAAAATGAATCTCCCTATTTGGTGAATAATGCACTGATACTGTACTCCAACAAAAAAGTTCAAAACTCCTCCTCACTACCCTCCCCAATTTTATTATAAACATAAAATCAAAATGTGCAATCCTCGTATATAAGGATATCATAACATTAATTGGCAATTGCCAGTAACAATTTAAGCCCTATATGTGACTGAAAACAACCTAACAGCATATAAAATCTTCATAGTCCAGGTCGTATAGAAAGCACTGACTGTTACTACAGAGAAAGCAGCTTCCATCTTTTGGTTTTGTGGTTCTGTTAAAGTGTACTGAGATTAGGTGTTTGGTATTTTGTTTATAGCCCCATTTTTTAACAAATATTTTTTGAAATAGAGACAGCAATGTCCAATTTTGGCCACAGTATCCAAAGATTTTTATTCTGGGCAGAACTCAAAAGGATAGAAAACACAGAAGAGACAACTTCCTTGGTGTTCTCATAAACAGCTAATCATAAAGTTTTCTCCTAAAGTACAGTTTAAGTATCGATTTCATACCATTGCATAGATGTGACTTGAGGATGAATTTTTTTCAAAAAATTAAAAAGGACAGACATACAGAGTGCCAAGAACTATCAGAATATCACCTTAGGATTTTCTGAATCCTTTTACGAACTGAATTTTGATATCAGTTACATTGGCGTACCTTTCATTTAGGTCTACTAAGTATTCCAGCTTTACATTAGTGTAAGAGGAGACCAAAATCCTGTCTAATAATCAGAATTCTGATTGACATTCTTGTCAGTGTGAGCCTTGCATTATAATTAAATCAAACTTTGATTGACTATATGTTAGTCTTCTTGTTTGGGATTAGCACACTAAGTATTTCAAGACCAGGAAGACAGGAGTTTTAACCAATAGGTTTTTTTTTCTCTCCAAACGATTATGGAGAGAAACTTCCAAACTACTTCCAAACTATTTCCCTTATCTGACAACTAAAAAAGTGTTAAAAGAAAAAAAAAAAAAAACCCACAACAAAACCAGACTTAAAAATAAATGAGATATTCTGAAATTATTCAAGCTAATCCAAACTCAGATTTATTTTCTTGGTAGCAAGACAGATATAAATTCTATCATTATACATTCAGCTCAATAAACATTTCAGCATCAAAATATTCATTCTAAGAACATGCTGTAATCATCTCATTAAAAAGAGAAAGCTTTTTACCCCCAGAATATCTTCTACTAATAACGTTTTTCTGGATCTGGCTACATAAGCAGATACTGTAGTGCCATGTGCAATGGGTCCTGCAGGAATGAGCCGTGGTTGTCCTTCTTTAGCTCCCGGGGGTGTAAATACACACAGACTCTAGTTAGAAGGAAAAAAAAGGGGAAAAAAGGAATGCAATTAGAAAGCATGGTTACTTTTACAGATTTACGATGCTACATATGTAGTGTAAAGGATTGAATAAAGTAGATAATGTAGAGAAACACGGCTTTTGACAATAAAAAGTAGTTGGATAAACTCCGCTTAACTGTTTGGAAATTTTAGAAAATCCCACTCTAAAGTTACCATTCAGATAGTGGATAACTCTTCTGCCAAAGTCAGTTACTGCTTATATCAGGGTTGGATTGTGTTTACCTTGAACACACAGTACACCACATAAAGACTTCTAAGGTAATATTTTCCTCTGTGAGAGAAAGATTTTTTTTTTCCAGGATGCACCCATTTATTTCAATAGAAAATACTCAAAAAGTAGAGATAATATTTAAATTTCTTGTTTATCTCATCCCAAGGAAAGGTAATTTCAAAATTATCCTAACACTATATTTCCTGAAATCAAAATGACTGTATTCGTCCCCCGTACTAGAAGAAATACCTCTCTTACTTGCTGCCTTCCTAAAACTGTCTCATTTATTGAAAAGTCAGGTATGACAACACTGACATCATGAAACTCATCTACAAACATCTGATAATTGTTCTGAAATGAAAATATTAAACCAGTTAACACCACCAGAATGAATGGGATTCCAAATATTATTTAACAAAGAGAAAATTAAACACATATATAAAGGTCAAACCTGCAAACCCTTCTGTATGCCAATCACTCTTCAAATCTAAAATTTCATTCATTTTTGGATGAAAAATAAACTTTATGGAACAGTAGAGTGCTGGAAAACAATGTCCCTATCACAGTCTCTAAAATTTTCCTTTATTTTTCACCTCAGACAACCTGCAAAGATGCAGTTTGTTACTAAAAATCGATTTTAAAGTCACAAAACAACCAAAAAAACCTGTCTCCA